TGTCTCCGAAAAGGCCCATTTGCATAAAAAATCCGCGCAAAATTTCCTCGGCGTTCCAAGCCAAAAAAGGCCGGAAATAGGTGGGGATCTATATATTGTGGCTACCAGTAAACAGTAAAACTAAAAAAATGAAGCCAACGCAGCTGAGAAGTAGTCCTATTTGATTGTGGTTGCATGGAAATTGTTTGGGGATAAACAACGGATCCAGGCGGACCTCATACATCCATTTAGAAGGTCTCTGGGGAGCTTTAGAGGGCAACAAAAGGACTAAAATTGGCGAGACGATTTTAATATTAAGATCAGAAATCAAAACACTGGTTATCTGGCACGAAGTGACATTGTTTTCAAACTTTTTTTGCGTCAAATTCAGGCTCAATATCATAAACTAAAGATTTTTTTGGATTTAATGTCAAGAATAACATAAAACTTGTCTTTAAACGGTGGTATACCAAAATTATTGGCCAAAAATCGGGGTGCCAGACCAGAAAGTTCAATTTATAAGACGAAACACGAGGAAATGCCTGCATTCCATGACCTTTTTGGCACGTTTTTTCGCTCCTTTTCAATCTCGATTAGGTAAAACTTCGCTAACGGAACTTTTTCCGTAACCAAAATTAAGGCTAATAGTAAAACTTGGGCCGTAAATTATTTAAAAAAAATTTATAAGCCAAATTAAACAATTACAAGAAAAACCCTTAAAATATCTTCAACTTTGATCATGAATAATCAGGCTTTATTTTGCCCAAAAATGTAGCAGATAAACGCCAGACGCGGGCCCGAGTCTCATCCTCGACTTTTATTTTAACTTTCCATACATTACTTAACCCCCATTCGCCCCACAAATCCCAAACATCCGCGAGGCCTCGAGGCACTGTGAAATGCCGCGAGCCATGCAAGTCGGTTGGAAGAAACTTCTGCTCCTACTCGACGACTAGTAAGGCGAATAAAAATTTATGAGACATTGAAGAGCGCTGCGAACAGAGATTTATGCAAATTCAATCAGCCCACACGTCATCGGGGAAGAAGAAACACTTTGAATTATCAAATTATGTATGGAAAGCGTGTCTTTGGAGATTAAAAAACAGAAGCGGAGGTTGTATCTTTCAACTTTCCACGTATTTTAGATAAATTTTAAAATTAAATGCGTAATAAACATCAATTAATTCAAAAATAGAATCATAATTTCATTTTTAGAAAAAAACGTTAAATTTTATGCATTGGCAGAAAAAGCGTATAAACCTGTAATTTAGAAAAAAATGTAGATCGAATTTCAAAACAGCTAAATGATGTCAAAAAGATTTTTGATCTCGGGCGGGCTCGAACCGCCGGCCTTCTGTGTGTTAGACAGATGTGATAACCACTACACCACGAGATCACCGGCCGCTCCTCTCTCGGAAAAAAAGGAAATTTGGGCCAAACTTGTCAGTCAGCGCCAAAAGCCTTTGGAATTTTTTTTCGCGGCCTCCAAATTCCGTCGCGCTCCGAAAAGTTGATTTGTCGCTGCGAAAAAAGGAATCGCGCGCGACGTAGGGCAAAAACAACAAAATTGCACTGTGCGAAAGCGGTTTTTGGGCCGGATGCACAGTGCAAAATGTTTTTTCGGGTTCATGCACAGTGAAGAGTCGCAGAAATTCCAAGGACTTTTTGCCGCGGCAAACAAGTGAAGAGCTCGTTTTCCAAAGATCCCTAGATCCCCAATGACAATGTAAATCTGTCGAAATGCAAGCAGGGCTAATCCAATAACAATAACTCAGACCAAAAACACCTCGAGGAATGTGTTATCCATCGGGGAATAATATCTGGAATCCTAAATGTCCAAAAGTCAAGGGAAATGGCTGATTAATCATTAAAATGGGCCAGAATAAACGAGACATGAACTTTTTTGTAATGAAACGGGAAGAAAATAGAGATTGAACAGGGAATTCGAGCCAAGGAAGGGTTCAAAAGGTCATAGTAAAGCAAACAGTGTTATTGTAGGCCATTAAAAAGTGCTAAATTGTGTAAGAATGTTAACAATCTCAGAAAAAGGAAGAATAAACAAAGAAAACATTAAAATATATGTATAAAAATGCTATAAAGGCAGAACAATCCAAAGTTATGTTACTAAAAATTCCAATTTTTCCCATAACATCTCAAAACAAAAAACACGAGCCCTCAGAGGTTGAGGAAATCGTAAAGCCAAGAGCTATTTCCTCGACCTAATTGGGGCTAATTTAGCTACAAGAAGTCGTCTCAAGAAGTTTTACGTAGTATTTACTCAAGAAACGGAACTTCGTTCGGCCGCAGCGATTGGCTTCATTTAAAGCTCATTAATTGTAATGTTTGCTTCCCAAAACAAAATAAGATCTCGGATTTTAGTCTACGACCTTTAACGGGAGGCGTCAAATGCAGTCATATAAGTCGGTTACTTGGTATAAAATTTGAGAATTTTCATGTGGGGGTGGGACAAAAATACTTCAATTTTTTAATGGAAATTTTGATGAAGCTATGAGCCCTGAAGGCATAAATGACGAGGTAATTGAAAAGAATGAGTAATTATTGCCTATTTATTCCATGGGGAAGACAAATAATTTTAGGAATGTAAACAAATGCAAATATTTGAGTTCTCGGTAATAAGTAAAGTTCTGAACGAGGAACGCTCATATTTTTTCAAATGTTGTGGATCTTTTCTCTAAGAGCCTTTAAAAAATTTCATCTCAGCCCTTGCAACCGTAAAACGTGGATTCATATTCCGATTTGACCCCAGCTTCACCGAAACACAAGCCCATTAAATAAACCTCTATTATCTTACAGTGCCTATACCCAAAACCTCCGAACACTCGTTTCCAATTTTCGTACTATACCATTTGCTTTACAACCTTTTCTCACAATTTCTACACGAGAACAAACTCCTGAACACATATTCATAGAACGCCGTTTTCGTACAAAATGCTCTTAAAAGGCCGTCAAAGTCAAAGCGTGACATACAAATAACCCTATGAATAAATAGTGGGACAAGTGTTCAAAAATTGTATGGGGATGATTCCCGGTTATATCAGATTACATTACTTTTGTGTACTTTCACGCCGAAAGCGAACCCAATTCAAATACCGAATTGAGAGCGAAAGTGAAAAGATAAAAGAAAGTTGGCGGTGGAAATGCGATAAATGTAGTCTAAGATAGCCAAAAGTGATGCTATTCAGAACAATTAATAAGCAAAAATAAATCATGAATCACAATATATGTGAACAAGTGTGATGTACCACCCCTCCGAAACACCTCCAGTCTGAACGGAAAGCCTGGAGATTCGGCCGTATAAAGCAACGAAACGCGGAAAGTAAAGTGCCAAAAACACTCTGAGCGTGAAATTAAAACGAAAGAGCCGAGATTTGGGCAAAAATTGGAACCGTAACGGATATATTTCTCCGTATAAATTAAGTGTTCAACATACTCAAAAAGGCATGCAAAAATTGGCGGGACTTGAGTTGAGTGGCCCAATCCCGGAACGGCCCAATTAAGTGACGAATGAAGGTCGTTAAAAGTTTGTTAATTGAAGTTCACAAGGGCCAAGGAGCGGGGAAAAATGACGGTGAAGTTGGTCAAGATGAGTGTGCTTGATCGAAGATTTGTTGAACAAAAACTGTAGATTCGAGAAGTTCTAGTTTCTATTCGTATACATAGTGATTTAAACTTAGCTCATGCTAATAACTAGCACAAATTCCTAACTTAAAAGTAACGCCCAGAGTAATCTTCCAAGTCCGAGAAACTCAATTAAATCAACGCAAAAATTTTCTGAGTTTCACCGACTTCTCAGATTTGGAATGAAGATGTCAAAAGTCACTACAGAGGCATCCGTGAACCCGTCATATTTCTTAAACAAAAATGGATCAAATTTTAAAAATTCAGTCATAACCTTCATATATATTTATTGTTAGCTTGTAAAATTATAGCCTTTTATTTACCAACGATCTGTAGGACAGGAATATGTTATTTGACAGCAAAACATCCATGATTCCTACAAAACCCGAAAAAAGGTCTAAATTTCCGCAAAATTTTATCGAGGTATACGTGCATGCGAAATAATTGTCAACAGTGCCCTTCAACTTTTATTAATCAAATTTCATTTTACTTTTTTACACCAAGCGCCTCGGTAGAGGGAGCCTCAAAAGATCAACATGTCATCTTTCTGATATAGCTATTCTTCATGGGCGCTTTGGGTTGATCTTCGTCCATAAAAAGTTCTGGCTCACACAATACCGTATTGCCTGTGAAATGAGTTGTTTTTGAAGGGAGAAAGCGAAAGAAACTAAGTCCTTTCTCTTTTCTCTCTTTCTCTCGCTCGAAAAGAACAAGGGAATGAAGAGAACGATGTGTGTCCTTTCAATCTGTGGTGAGCGGAAAGGTAAGGAAAAGGGGGTTGCAAGGTAAAAACTTTTTAACACTGGTAATTTTTGGTAATTTTTTTCGCATAAAAATTGTTTGTAAAGATTGAATAATTGAATTTTTGGCTCTTCGACCTATATGCGACTTTTTTCAAAGCTCAGGATATAGAAAAACGAGGAGTTAAAAATGACCGCTTTTTTGTTTGATATCTGGCTTTAGTGCATCAGTTTTTATTTCGTATTTTTTTGCAATTTTTATGTAGTACAGTAGTCCTTCGTCACGCTAACACCCCCAATTTTGATTTATTTTTTATCAGCTCAATTTCTCATCGACCTCTCTCCCGAATTTCATAAATATTCAAAAAGTCATAAAATACAGTAATCCCAAATCCATTTCATGTTTAGTGCTTTGCTGAACGTTGTTCAAATGTATTCATACGTGAACTCGCTGCGACCCATTGGGTCACGGGACATTGCGGCGACCATCCCCTCAACAAAAGAACGTTACAGTAACCATGGTTTTTCCAATTGTTTCAAAACTCTCCAAAATTTTTGGCCGTCTTTCCCGGCGTTTTTGCATCCGGAAGGGATAGATTTATCTTTTTCGTGTACCGGATTACATTGAATATTTGTCGTGGAATGAGAGATAAAACCTTGCTGTTTGTATTGCTTTACATTGCGTTTGGCGGACTGGTGAGGGGACAAAGCAGCTCGACTGGTGAGTCTGGTTTAATAAAAGTCAAGAATTAAAATTTTTTTGGGTGAAAAAAATATGTGTCCCAAAATGTCAAAAAATTGATTTTTATGTTTGATCTTGCACGCCTTTTTATTGGATTTATACTCAATTTCAAGGTTATGTAAATAACTTCTATTAACAACGAAAGTTTTTATTTTTATATAAAATATTTTTGTTTACGACTTCCTGTATATTTTGTTAGAATGTGATGTAATATGTTGTACATACACGGCTATTGCATGAGCTACGATTCTTTTAAATTATGCACATCAACTTTTCCTAAACCGCATTCATTATAAGTTCCCGGAATTTTTGTTTCGTACTTTACAATCGCCATCTTTATATTTCGAGAAACTATGAGCTCGGAGACTTGTTGTTTCTATACATTTAGTTTTTTTAAAGTTCTGAAAGCGCTTGTTTTACACTGAACCTACATATTTTTGCATTATACACATAAATGGCCAAAGAAAAAAGTTTTTTCGCCATTCCATCAACCATGTTATAGGCTCCTCAACAGTCCAGACAACATTTCCCCAGTCCACCCCTGCCCCACTTTCTTCCTCTTCCCTCACTTCAACCTCATCTCCCTCTTCATTACTCCCAACGGCGACTACAGCGAAAGCAAATAGCACAACGTCTTCTGGCAACTCAACTATAAAGTCTCACTCCTCCTTCGCTGCATGTTCCAATTCAGCCGCTCTAAATGCATCAGTTGAGAATTGGAATCCAAATCTTGGAGATGTCAAAGATCTGCTGTGTTATACCGGAGTGACGCAGAAAGATCATTACAATAGTTATGATGACTGTTATAGTGATGTGGCCTATTGTAATCTTCGATATCTACAGAAACAAGTGAGGAAAGCGTGCGAGGATGACGGTAAGTGGATCTTTTTTAATTTATGGATAAAAACTGGCAAAATTTAGCTCAAATTGGGACAACACTTCAATAATAAAAAAAACGGAATGGCTCCTATCTATCATCATCAGTTACTGTCATTTTCAGGTTACACATTCACCCTCCGACGTTGGTGGTTCTGGCTTCTTGTGATCGGAGTCCCAATCATTTTGGCTTTCCTAATAATTACCACGGCTGTATCGGTAATCAAAGCATGTCTGTAATCGAACTTGCAGATCCTTGTCTGTTTCTGTGGATGTTGTTGTCGCCCCTCCGGCTTTAATTCGTATGATAACAAGATCTACAGTGTGGATACAGCGCCGCCGATCCCAGTCTCGTATGGAGGTCGGGTCTATTCTTCAGCCTTTTAAATCGCCTCAGGCTAAACGCTTAGTTATTTTAAAATCATATTTCAATAACCTTCATTGTGATAAAATGTAATTCCATATTAACAATAAACAGTAACTTTATTCGGTAAAAACTGCATATTGTCGTGAAGTAATTAGGTGTTAGGAAATGTGAGATTTTTAAGCTATATTATTAACCAAAAGCCAGCATGTAATTGCCATTATTTTACCTGTTTTTGTTAATAGATTCACCAAAAATAGGAACACTTGCTAAGCTTGTTTTGAATATTCTGAATTGGCTGTAATGACTAGAAATAATAACGTTTTTTTATGTATACACTTTGTGCCATAGTATGAGTTATGAAGCTTTAAAATAGCATATGTTATGCTCATTAAGTATTTATTATCTGCCACAATTCCAATATTTTGGCAATATCATTTCTTGGAGTAAGCATGACCTCAGGCTTTGCAATTTTGCATCGGAGGATGGGAAACAAATTTTGGTGTCAACAAGCAGCTGATTTATTAATGCCCTTTATGCGGTCAGTGGTCAACAGATGAAAGTTAAAATCGGGATTTCTTGATTTGATTGTCATAGCATGGGTGTAATTCGAAACAGTCAAAAAAGAGTTAAGAAATAGCTTTAGGCGATCACTGCTTCAGGTCGAATTTTTTATCTGGAATTGCAAGACTTTTGTCTAGCCAAAAAATACGGGATGCATCATAGGACAATCCGGGACTTGTTTTTACCAAGCCCAAACAAAGTAATGCCCTCTGAGAACATGACCTTTTTTCTGGAAGGTCCAATTACTGACGTCGTGTAAATCAGCCATGTGGAAAGAGGAAATTGAACTTTCTTTCTGGATCCCTGTTTGGCTATTCTCTAAGTTTGATTGATGAAGTCTTCGCAGAAAGCGGTCAAGTTTCCGGTCTTTATGTGTATATTACCATCGATGTTATAGGATCTCCGTTTTTGAAGTTATGTAATCTCATAAAAAGAATTGGAATATATATATGAGCCTTTACAATTTATTTTCAAAAATATAGTTCAGATTACGTTTTGAGCGTCAAACTTTTGACATGTAATCTTATTTTGTTGAGTACAGTCTGGCACGAAAATCCTCCAGGTATGCATGTTTAGGAGGTACAATTGGCAGCAGGATTAGTCCAGGGTGTTACAGTTCCCCTCATTTTAAAAAGACGACTTTCAAGATTTTTGTATTTTCATTTTAAAGCAACGAAATGTTCAATGTTCTCCCCAAATTATTATTTATAAATTGGCCACCTCTAATTTTAGATTTTGAGCTTGCAGAATGTAAATTGTAGGCAGTACTTTGCGGTTTTTGAACTAGCCCTTATCTTTGGAGATGCAAGAGTCAGAATTGTACCGTCCCTTTGTTTATTATAAACTACGCTTCATACGATTAAGGACTGAATTTGTATATCTACGTATACATGGGGAGACAGCTACTCTTGAACCTTTTATAAGAAAAAAGATTTCCAAAATTTTCCTTCATTGTTGTACCAATAACGACTGAAAACATTGTAGTGACATTCTGTACTATACTTGCTAATTATCATTTTTCTATTGTTTCCAATATTGTTTTTGAAACAGGACGTAAAACACCCTTTTTGAAACTTCGTTTCCCACGCGGAAAAAAGCACGGTTCAAAGAAAGCTGTATTGGGCCAAAAACTTCCTTTACCAGGAGGATTCTAAAAAATATTTTGACGCGATAATATTTAGACTACACCCAAGCCTTTTGAAATGCATTTTCAGTATCTTCAACTACAGCTTTTGATCTTTGCCTTGTTTAATATTTCCTGACAGCTCCTGTGGCAGTCTTTCTAATTAAAGCTGGCGGGTATTCAGATCATTTCCTAGACGTCGGGCATTTTTTTGCTTACCATTAGGCATCAAAAATTGAAAAATGAACTGTTATGGTTCAATTTGAAAGCATGGTGGCCCTCGTATAGACATATATGTAGACTAATGTAGGAAAATTTATATTTAATTTAAAGTAAAACGAATAACCCGCTAATGAACTGTTGTGCTCCAAACAACGTTACATGACCAACCTTGTGTTGTGTAGCCCAAAAACTCGTGCTCTTTACTCTTGTGGTTGACCAATGGTGCTTGAGTGACAAGTGTTTGTCTACCAGGGTAAACTATAATATTTTCGCGCAAAAGTACTGCCGTCATTTTCATCTCATAATATTTTAATTAGCGATGTGCTTTTACTGACACTAATGATCGAATTTCCGCCCTTTTCCTCGGGGACCATTACGACATTTCATATCGTTTGTATAAACGAATATTGTAGATTATAATCGTATATACCAAACACCCATTAACCCAATCATCTTTGCTTCCTGCACCATTTTTCTCACGTATCCAAACTCTTTTTTAATCTATTTATTCACGGTTGTTTACAGATCTTCCAATACGGAGAACCCGCCCGTCGTCGAAGCTGTTGGAATTTATGGACCTGAAATTAATTCATTCGTGTATTTATTGTGGGCCCGATGCCTGATCTCTGAGAGGATGGATGCTGAGACCTACTATTGCTTTACAATCTTTTACCGGGTATTTGGGATAATAAACTTGCTTTTGAATACTTATATCACAATTAAAATTGCAAGGGCGACAGTGTTGCATGTAAACTTTAGGATTGTTGTGGTAAGTAAGCTTTATTAGCACCATAAGAGGTCTTATCTTATGCATAAAATTTCTTTTTACAGTGTATTACGATTATTACCTTGGAAATGATGCATATATCTTACGTTCTCGGGCATTATTACAATTCCGTTACCCTGCAAATGACCGAACGTTACTATGCAAACATTGGATGTGCCATCTTTGCTTTATTGAATAACATATCATCAGCCAGTGGCACAATCAGCATGTTTATGCTGGCTCTAGAAAGACATATTGCTCATAAATATGTGAACTTATACGAGGATAAGCCCAATACTTTGGGATGTGTTTTGGTTATAATTGTTGTAAGTAGCGATTGATCTTGTAGATCATACAAATAGCTGTCTAATTTTAACACCTTTTGGAGTCTAAATTTATAACTTTCTTTAGGCAGTTCAAAGTGCATTTATTGGGATCGTATCTTGGTGGTTTTTTCTCTTTCATTTGGACGAATTCAACCTAGAAACTTCGAGGATCAGCTGTATCACAACTGATTTGCACTGGGAATGGGGAGTTTGTGGGTTCTCTTTAGCCGCCATTATGTGTGTTTTTGGCGCTATGGTAAGCATTATAAGCATATTTTTACCATTGACTTCAAAATGATTTTTTATGAACCTGATAATCCGTAGCAAAAACTACTCGAAATAAAACATTAAAGGAAATAGTTTGTGGCTTATGCCTGGCACATTTTATACTCATAATGAGCATATATTTCAGTGGCTTGTCTTCCTCAAATCCACGACCCATCGTCATCGAATGTCGCGCGTGGCTTTGAGCAGTCTTAGCGCCCGATTCCAAGCCACCGAGAACTCGTACACAACTGCGTCCATTGCTCCATCCATGATCTTCTTCGCAATAGGCAGTATTATTGGCATTTGCATCTGTCTATCGCGAGGAAAGGCGATCCAACAGTACGGACAAAACTCGATTTTATCAAAATTTTTGGCTGATGTAAGCAAAATTGCTTTTTAATATAAAAGTTCCACGTTTTAGGTGGCGTTTATGGTGGTGGATGTGTACGCGCTGATTCATTTGGCCTGTCTTTTACTTTACAATCCAATGATTCGTAACATTGTGAAAAGGGACCTCGAAAGGATCGCTTGTTTGGGGATTTCAACGCCCCCTCAGGCATTTAAGGCTGACTATCAAGTGGAAACCGAAGTGTATTTTAACCAATTCAGGACAGCATGGGCGAAGGAGAAGGGTAAAACACCTGTTATTTGTTGATAACATTCTGTAAATAAACATAAAAGTCAAAAAATAGGCAAGCATGTCTAAAACAGCTCATAATAAGGGTTAAACCCAATTCGGATATCTTCTTGGAGAACGATGTAAACCAATCTACAGTAATTTCTATACATAATGCAATGGAATTTAACATGTGTTTACATCTCTTGGACCATGTTTTCCGTCCATGTTGAGCCATGTTCGACAGTTATCATGGCATCTGCTGACAGCCCGGCTTTCTCCACTTCCTCCTTCAGCTTGGTCTTGGGTTCCAAATAAGGCTAAAACAGACATGTTGTATAAAAAAATGTTTATTTTAATTTTATTACACCCGTCTTACCTCTGTCGACCCCATCGGATATGTTCCCCAATGAATTCCAATTGAATGCTTAGCTTTGACCAGTTGATGAACTTTTACAGCCTCTTCAGGATCAATGTGTTGGCCTTTCATAAAATATCTTAAAGAAAAATAAAGTTTTTTTTTTGTATTATACTAAGCTTACCTCGGGGCATAAGCCCCTATAGGAATTGCGGCCAAATCAAAAGGCCCTAAAATCTTCCCGATTCTCCCAAATTCCTCTTCACAGAATCCAGTGTCTCCAGCGAAATAGAATCGCTTCTCCTGACCCGTTACAGCCCAGCCACTCCATAGCGACTTGTTCTTATCAAAGATGCATCGAGTACTCCAATGTTGAGCGGGCACACACCAAACTTGGATCTCTTTACCATCTTTGTTCAACGTGTATTGCTCTCCCCTAAAAGGTACGATATCTTTCACAAGTTCTACAAATAAATAGCGCTTCATAAACAACTCCACATACCATGCCATTTCATGCACCTCATTCTTGGTGAGCTTGACCATACTTCTTTTCAGGCCTTTTGGAACAAACCATTTCATCTCTGGGAATTGTTTGGAGAGCTCTTTGATTGCTTGGTAGTCCATGTGATCGTAATGATTATGCGAGATCACTCCGAAATCAAGCTAAAAATGATTATTTAGGCTTTTGAGCGATTCAAGCGCCTATAAAGTAAAGCTCTTACCTTTGGGATCTCGTCGATCCGACATGGAGACGGCCGGTACCTGACTGGCCCAGCAAATGAAAAAGGAGAAACTCTCTGAGCCCAGACTGGATCGGTAATAAAACTAAATCCCTCAAGATGAACGTAGACCGTCGCATGTCCCATCCAAATGGCTGATAACTTTGAAGCAAAGTCAAAGACCGGCTTTCTGACCGGCAGCGTTCTCTCCAATTCCTCCCAAGTTGGAGGAGCAGGGCTTTCCTCAGTTCTTCGAAATTTTATAAAGTCCGAAATCTTTGGTAGTCCAGTCCATCCAGTAAAAGAGGCCGGGTTGGAGAACTTCCCATTGAAATTAGGAGCTTAGGAGTCGAGAAAGTCTCCATATCAAATACTCGTTAGGTGAATCAATAAAATAATAGAATGGACGATTAAAATAAGGAAAATTTAAAGGTGGGCCTCAAAGTAAAGTAACGAAATCCTGGGGGGAATGAGTAAAAGCCGAAGATTTTTGGAGCGGACGAACATTTTTCGGCCCGTATCTTGTAGTCTGTTCCATTTTATGCACGCAAAAAGATAGCGTTGAATAAAAAAACAAGTCTTTTCCGTTCTCTGTCTTGTAAACGCACGCCAAAAGAGAGCCAACTAGGAAAATAAACAACTTTTTGGTAGATTCTAGACATTTTATTAGTTGTTTTATATTTAAACGTTCATAATTACATCATAAATTACTGATGACTTGTGAAAATGCATAGTTAGTATGTTGTTTTTTTTTTGCTTTCAGTCCATGTGGCGCCGTGTTCAACAGTTATCATAGCATCTGCTGGAAGACCGGCGAGTGCAACCTCTTCGGCGAGCAAAGTTTTCGGCTCCAAATAGGGCTAAAAATTGATAATTACTCTTCGAACTTTGAACAGAAACAAGTGGTTTGTGTTTGACTCACTTCAGCCGACCCCATTTTATAAGTTCCCCAGTGTATTCCTATCGATTGTTTGGCTCTAACCAGTTGATGAACTTTAACGGCGGCCTCAGGATTGATGTGTTGCGGCTTCACGATATGTCTGAAAGATATCAAAAAATATTAAACTTTTCTAATTACAATATTATATAACTGACCTTGGAGTGTAACATCCAATAGGAATTGCGGCCAAATCAAATGGCCCTAAAATTCTCCCGATTTTTCCAAATTCCTCTTCGCAGAATCCGGTGTCCCCAGCGAAATAAAATCGCTTCTCCTGACCCGTTACAGCCCATCCACTCCATAACGATTTGTCCTTGTCAAAGATGCATCGAGTACTCCAATGTTGAGCGGGCACACACCAGATTTGAATCTGACTTCCGTCCCTGACCAAGGTAAAATTTTCACCCCTAAAGGAATCGTCGTTATTCAGGCTTTGGAGTAAATTTTATAGTAGCCCACAACATACCAAATAAGTTCGTAAATTTCGTTGCCGTGAGCAAACTTTCTCATCGTGTTTTTCAGACCTTTTGGAACGAACCACTTCATGTCGGGAAATCGTTGGGAGATCGTTTTGATTGCTTTCCGATCCATATGATCATAATGATTATGAGATATCACTCCGAAGTCTAGCTGAAAATTAAATTCGAACCTTAATACACGCAGATTTAACGCCTTGACGACACAAAATTCCGAAAAAATCAAGAACTAACCTTTGGAAGTTGGTCAATTCTACATGGAGGCGGTCGATATCTTTTAGGGCCAATGCAAGTGAAAGGCGACACTCTTGAAGCCCAAACCGGATCAGTAATAAAATTAAATCCTTCAAGGTTCACAAACACTGTCGCATGTCCCATCCAAATCGCTGATAATTTGTTTTCAAACTCAAATACCGGCTTTCTAACAGGCAGAGTTTCATCTAACACTTCTGCGTTGGGGAAAGCAGGCGCTTTTCGGTTCTTTAGACGCCATTTCACACACTCGCTAATCGCTACACCGTTCCAATTAAAAGAATCCGGATTTGAATACCGGCCGCTAAACTTTGGGGCCGTAAAAGATTCCATAATATTATTGTTGCAGGAAAGATAAAGAATTTGGAGAGAACAGAGGAAAAACAAATAAAAAGCGGGAGGGAATTCGGAATGGAAATGTTTAGGCCAAAGGTTGTAGTTTGTTTTCTTCACTACGAATTGAAGAACGAATGTGTTCCAAAGGAGATTGTCACAAAAGCCTGACAATGAGAGCTTTTTGTACGGTAATTTAACCGGCTGCAAAATAAAAAAAAATTGTATACTCTGAAAGTCTCTGGTCCTACTTATATTGAAATTGTCATCATGCAATTTGTAACCCCCGAAAATCTTACAGTTAAAAAATAAAATTTTCAAATTCATGTCAAAAAATCTTTACTGATGATTTCTGCAACGGAATGACGGAAAATATACCTTACTTTTTTAGATTCTTTTTAGATATAAGATTTTATTTATCGCCTATAATGCCCAGATCTTTGCCCCGTTATTTTTATTTAATTCGGTTGTGGTTGAAGTGCTTCTAAGTGCTTTCTTTTGCATGATTTTGTATGCTTGTTTTGTTTCACACGCAGAAATGGGTACTGTAGAGTGAATTTGCTGACAGCTGTGACTTTTTCAAAATCAGAGAGTTTTAATGTTGTCTATTTAATACAAGTTCTTTTAAATAGAAAGGGACTACCACTTGCATAACGTGTGTTTCAGTATTAACCTTTGTGTTAATTAACTAAACATTGTTTACATGTTTTCACGCTACTGTGTACAGCTAGTACACAGTATTTAATTTCAGTTGTCTAATCAGAGGCCTTGTTGCAAAATTGAGATAATAACATTTTAAGAGGTAACTGAGTTTCATACAGTAATCAACTCTCAGAAACTTAACTTACGTAATTTTCTATCATAAGTTATGGCTCAAAATATGAACGTATATCTCCAGACAACCTCCTACAAGTTCCGTTCTCTTCAGTCCTTTTTTGGATTCCTTTGAAAGATCGATGTTTACGATGGGTGAATATGTCTTTAATTATGTTTTCGGTTGAAGTAATCGCCGGCTCCCTGCGTAATTAAAGAGTCCCTGCTGACACATGCTTAAGACATGTTTTCTGTCATTTCGGAGAACATGGAGTCTTGACGGTTCTGGACATACGCTTCCGACGATAGGATATAAAGGACAATTTGGGTGTATCCGCAGAAGAAAAGGTTAAAGAAACATAGTTACCGTAACACTGGTGTCTTTTCTGCTTCTAGTTTTCAACTTTTTGCCAACTTTAAGCCCTTGATTTTTGATTGGGAGGTATGAAACCGCAGAACCTACAAGCCACATTCACCCTCTTTGCACTTATGCATATCATATCTCTTTGTGCGGTATTTTTAATTTAACCTCTTTACACCACTTTAAAGAATTGTATTGCCAAATGTATTCTGTTGTCAAATGTATCTATGTGATTTCCATTCACATCAAATTGTTTGCCGTAAAAGAGCCATTGTTGGAAGCTTTTGCAGATATTATGGTTAAATTTTTTGTGAGTCATTTGTACTTACGTTGCACATTTTAATAAATGGGAGCGCCGTTGAACCTTCGTTTATTAGAAGTCCTTATGCTTTGGATGCATAAAGCCTGGTTATCGTGGACCTCTTACTTTAGTACCCCGTCTATTACGTTACATAGGACCCCGGATATTATACGACAAGTTGAAGAGATACTGTTCTACGAAGTCTGACGTGGTGTTCTACCTTTGCGCCACCGTTTTTAATCGGACGAGATTTCCTGCAGCTTAATTTAACTTTTTTTTGCGGATTTTTAAATTAAAAAAAAAGTTCATTGGCATTTTTTTACCGCTAGGTTGGTATTTTCGTGGAAAAGTTTGGAGCGTGGCTTGATAGTTTAAAGGTAAATTAATTACTGTAAATTTTGCACGTACGCATTTTAGTTGGTAGAAATAGAAACGTCTGTAAATATTGCTCCTCGGTAATTTTTATTGGTCTTTTCTTATTTAATTTCTTATGTTAAATTAATTTAATTTTCAAGTTTAAAAACGTAACCTGTAATTCCTCACAACGTGTTTATTTTTTTTAATAACATCCCAATGATCGTAATTTTATACATAATAATTAGGCGTCTTTAGCCTCACATACGACTGCTTTTGTCACGTCTATTTCAACTATTCTGGAGCTCGAATATCGTCATTGCTCGTATTCGTATGCTCTATGACCTTACACTACATAGTATGTTGTTAGAAACACTTGGTTACAGTTAGACAAGGTTGATTTAATTTTGTGTTTTAATGTCATGATTAAAGATGATTTAATTCGCCACGAGCTGGATGCCATCATGTTGGTAACCTACATCTACGGTTTTATTCAAGGCCAAGAATAGTGCTTTAAAAGCCGACAAATTAAAGAGTTCCATTTATATTTGACTTAAGGCTACGGTTTGGGGGATTTTGCTAAATAGATTATCTATGGATGGTCGTACATATGAAAAACGTATCTTTGGGCTTCAAAGATACGTTTCTTTTTCGCAGATTAATCATACCCAAAGAATTTAGATTTTGTTTTTGGTAAAGTCTTTTTACGTTCAAGTAGGCGACCAAAAGTTTAATTAAGTCCGAGCCCATCGAAATTTTCGTCGCCGCGTTTCATTTCACATTTGCAAATGCCAGAAGTGAGCATTGTGAATAAATTTGTTTCCATTCCGCAAATTAATTATGCCCATTCCTGTAAGTATTGTCTACATAAGACCTTTGGAATTTTTGATATTCGCATGCATCCGCTGTCACGCATCATTTCAACTTGTCTACAGCTAGAAATTTGTTAAATTTGTTTTATTATGCATGTGCCGCCCTTGGATTATAATTTTAATTGATTGTGTCGCAGCAAATTCAAATTGTGTTTACTCCAGCGACACGATTTGCGCAGCGAAATTATGCTCATTATTTTCCCGACAAACTGATAATTGGCCATTTTTAATACTGCAGCTTTTAAAACCCGATCTAGCCAATTTTTTTGTATTTCATTGCATGTATGACTTGTCTATATTTTACTGCATAACACAACAAAATATAATAATAATTTTCTTCAGGTTAAGGTCCCAATGAATTATTCCCGAGATTGGGATAAGATGAGATCAGAGCCCTTTTTCACTAACAGAGAATTTGCATACGACGCTTTCAAGTATTGGTATGCGGTATTTGGAGGCCTCAACTTTTTGCTAAATATGTATTTTGTAATTCGAATTTTCAAAACAACCATCTTGCATATCAATTTCAGGATTTCAGTGGTGAGTTTATTGCTTGTTCAAAAATTTTCATAATTCATCAGTTAATAAATAGCTTAATCTTCAGTGTAACACAGTGATCTCGTTGGAATTTATGCATATAACTTTAATGGCGGGAACCTACTACAACGACCTTACCATTCATTTGGAGAATCGGTTTTATGTAAATATTGGGTGCGCTTTCCTCGCCTTACTAAATAATATTGCCTCAGCCAGTGGTGCTATTAGTATGTTTATGCTCGCGTTAGAGCGACAACTCGCTCATAGATGGGTCAATGTCTACGAAGACAAACCGCGAACTCTGGGATGTGCCTTAGGCATGCTTGTGGTAAGTAAGATCGTCAAAGAGTTATTAGGCAGTTTTAGGTGATACAAAGCACAACTATTGGGCTGGTGGCATGGTACTTCTTTTTATTTTATTTGGAAGATTTCGATGTCCACGCATCAAGGATCAGTTGTATTCCAACGCATTTGCATTGGGAGTGGGAGGTGGGAGGATTCGTGTTGGCGACTGGGTCTTGTTTGTTGGGGGCTGTGGTAAGCAAAAGCCTTTGTCAGTTGTACTTATTTACAAGGGAATACACATATTTCTTAAAATTTAGCCATGTGCTTTATAGCGAATTTGAGAAATTGATTGAAATGAGGCGAAAAAAAAGATTGACAATAGAAAAACTGCATGTTTTGCTGACGTTTATGTCCATTTCCTTCGAATAATTGCATATTGTCACCTTATTCTTCCCACAGTTCTTTCCAAACGCTAATTAATGGTCTGGAAAGCCTTGAATCCGATTTTGAAGTCTTGGCTAATTTTAACCTGCCCTAATTTACGCTACAATCGTGCTTTAGCGCTAACTCTAAAGTCTTATGATTCGGTTGAAGGCTGATCTTCAGGACCTTTTTTTAGTGGTTCTGTGCACTCAAACGGAACACAAGCCGAGATCGTCGGGATCGTCTAAGTCTGAGGAGTCTCAGCGCTCGCTATCAAGCCACTGAGAACTCGTACACCACAGCCTCGATCGCCCCTTCCATGGTCATGTACACATTTGGAGCGATTCTAGGGATGGCGGTCGGATTTTATCGAGGTCATTTGGTCGGTATTTACGGGGAAAATACAATCATGTCAAAGTTTCTGGGAGACGTAAGTTGTTTAATTATAATGTGAGCTTATGACATGTGGGATAAACACATGCTATTATGACCGAAATAGAACAAGGCACAGTGTTTTCTTGATGACATAACACCTTTTTTTAAATAGCGATTACTCAAAATTCATTTTTTTAAGATTGGATTTCTGTTTGTGGATATATACGCGCTCTGTCATTTACTGTGCATTTTGTGTTACAATCCGATGATTCGGAATGCCATTAAAAAAGATTTCGATAAATTAATTTGCAATGGAGGGACTCGGACTGCGGCCAAGACTGACTACACACATGAAACGGAAATTTATTTTGAACAGATCAAGGATGCCTGGGCATAACAATTGATACTCTGTTTTTTAATTAGGTACGATAGAGATGCCATATTGTTTGTTTGTAATAAAGACTTTTATTAACAAAGTAAGTCTTCGTGGACAAACAGAAGTTGTTGAAGGAAGAGGTCATGTGTTTAGGACGAAGACAATCATAACAGTACATTATCACGTCATTCACCGAAGATAAAGAGCGAAAAGAACAAGGAGCAAACTTGTGGATGCGGCGTAGCGCATTCCGGAATTTCGGCCGAAATTCTCGGCAAATCCGATTTCAAGTTTCGTGAAATTACTGTCGGATCGCAACGCAACACAATAATGTTGAAGGAAGTCGCTTCCCAAGGCAAAGTCGTATCCATAAGTGGGCTTGGCGGAACTGATATGCGCGCTGTAAAGGCCACGCTGAAAAATGAACAAAGAATCGTAAATTACAGTTAAGATATAACTGCCGAAAAGACATTTTTTAAAGGCTTACATCTTCTCTGTACCACGCATAATCCGAAGCATTCAGGTTGTACTCTTTCCCGTCGTGAGTGAAACTAAAACTGGGGAAATCATTGGGGTCTGCATGCTCTTTTGTTAGGATCTCGTCGTCGTAGATTTCTTGTGGGATTTGAGAGTCTTGGCCAACAGCCAATGCAATCACTTGGTCCTTGAGGACGGTGCCGTTTGATGTTGTTATGCTGAAAAAAATTGACCTTTGTTTGCGACTTAGACTTGTAGAGCAAATTAATTTAGTATGCTTCCGGTAGTCTTTATAATGACTCCAAGAACCTACTCTTTCTTGAACCTCCACTTATTATTAGCGATAGTCTCGATGAATGTGAAGTTTCCACAGTACTCCTCATCGTACTCTCCAAAGACAATGGAGCCATATCCATTTACATCCATACTCTCGTTTTTCTATCATCGTCTCAATCAGAATAGTCGCACAAAACCTACCTTGCTCACATATCTTCTAGCCTCTTGGAAGGTGATCTGAGGATAGGTCAAATCCTGCATTAACTGCTTAACAATGCTTGTTTTATCCTCGCTGATACCCAAACCAAGGAAGCCACTATAACGGACAGCTGAAGGGAAGTAAGCGTCAATGATGACACCCAATTCAAGTACGAAGGTCTGCAGTCCCAGGGTAATCGAATCCTGATACAATTCAAATTCATATTTCGCAAGATCATTGAATTTGTCGATGTAAGTTGTATCCGGACGCACTCTCACTCCCCCGGTGTTACTGCAATGGATAGTGTTAGAGGAGACTAGGAGTATGTATGATATTTGAGTGCATCTGTGAAACTGGTGGCTTAATAGTATATAACTTACTACGTGCTGTAGACAAAGTCCGAGCTGTAAGGTCTACATTTAGAGTCTTGAGTAAAACATTCTGGACCGAATACCAGACTGTAAAATCTGTTCGTGTCTACATGCACATTTACATATCTGTTGTCGTTCCCGATTTTGATGCGATAAAACAGTGGCTCACTACTGACTAAACACGGCGTCCCATTAATTGGATGAGGCCCACTTACAGACAGAATAATGCCAAGTTTGGTTGAATTCACAAAGAATTAATGGGAGAAATGCAGAGAGGAAGAAAAGAATAGCAAACTTCATTGCGACTTCTAATCCTCAAAACTATCAAAAGCAGGAAATAGCGCATGAATTTAAATATAATGATAAGGATTTAAGCCGTTTAACTCTTACTTATGGTCGTACATTGCTACGGCCCATCTCTCCAATGAATCAATGCTTCATGGAGTCCAAGAAATTAAAAATGCGGGCATAAAAGTGCACAGTAAACGCACCACGATCTCTACATTATGCGCTGCTCAGAAACAAACGCATTTTTGCGACCGTTGCAAATTTTAAGCATTCAAATTTTTGAATTTTTCATTTTGACCAATTTGTCATCATGATCATTGATCAGCGGCGAGTAATGTTAGACTTGGAATACAAACAGAAACTGTTATCAATAAGGTTGTAGTCGCGGAATTACACATGTAAGCCGCTTAGCGACTAACATGTATGCTTAAGCCGTAGTACATTGTGCCTTAACTCAGAGCCAACATGACAAAGAAAGAGACAATAGCGAACGATAACGAATAAGCAGCGGCTGATTTGCTTTTGCCTTTCTTTTCAGCCTTTCCTTCGGCCCAATTTCCCTCTTCCTGTCCTCCTTCTGGCTTCCCTTTATTCTCAGCCAACCCAATTCTTAGTTCGGTGAACAGTTTGTTTGATTGTAGGCCAAGACAGTAATGCTGCAGGAATTCGGTGCCTAATGCGAAATCATACGGAAATTGTGCTGTCTTCTTTGAAAACTTGGCCTTGTACTGGTCGCTCTAAAATTTTCAAAAGTTCTGGTTAGCGTTTCAAGATTACCCACATATTTATCGTAGGCCGCGTACTCTTTCCCGGCCATTTCGAATGTTGTGCCGGCAACTTGAAACGAAATTTTAGGGAAATCCGTATCTCTATTGCATGTTACAGCAAAGAATTTATTGTAAATTGATTCTTCTGCCACCCCGTTCTGCCCGATTGTGAAGGCTAGGTTCTTTTTTGGAAATGTTTTGTTGCCAATTGTGAGGCTGTAAATTCGAAATCATACAGTTAAATTTTAAAATTTACTCCGCTTCAAGCGTCCATGCCTTGTGATTTGCAGTGTTTGTGTAGGTAAAATCGCCACATCTTTCCTTATTGACCTCTCTTCCAAGCGTTATTGAGCCACGACTCTTCTTTGTTTCTTCTTCTTTTTTTTTGTGCTTCTGGAAGTTAGCAAAATTAGGGATTTTATTGTAACCATCTAGCAAGCAAGATTTCGGCAATGTGTTTTTTCCTACTAATGTTAGCAAAAGGTGACTGCAAAAAAGGCCGAACAGACTTGGTCGTATAAAAAACTTAAAAAATATTCACCTTATCCAATGCTCTCCAAGTTTCCTGAATGATAATCTGTTGAGTACTCATTGAGTCATCAGTCATCAATTTCTTAACAATACTGCTCCTTTCTTGCTCGGTATTCTGAGCCGGTCCCAGTCCAATAACTCCAGAATACTCCCAAGGCAATCTTGTTTCGACCGCCCTTACTCCAATTAGCTCTGTTAGAAAACTGATGCCAGCGCATTTAACAGTATCCTTGTACCACCTTCCTTCTAGCTCTTCCAAACTGTACATGTCGTTCTTAAAATCCTTGGCTAATTCTGTAGCACCGCTAAGGCTAAAAGGAACAATTTAATTTTCCTGGAATATCAACTGCAAATTGGTGTTGATCAGGACTATAAAACTTTAAGAAACGCCTTTCATACACGCTTTCCACCTACCTTGGATCATAGGTCTTAACATATTTATCAGCCGTGCATTCCCTACAATCCTTGAGCAGGAAGACTGAGTAAGGGCGGTTGATGTCTAGTTGTGCCTGGAGAGTACGTTTATCGCGTCCAAAGTCGATGTTAAGGACCGCTCTTTGGGCTAAACAGATTCCATTTAAAAAATGTCAAGTCATAAAATGTTTTCTGCACATTTGAAGTGTACCTGTGGAGATAAAAATATCACCATTAACAGTTGTCGCCAAAGAGAGGAAAAGCGGGAAAGAACAAGTTTTCATTTTGAATTTCTCAAAGAACCGCATTCTGAATCAGAATAGGAATAGACGTTAAAAGGTGTGCTAACACCACGTGTAATCTCCATGATAGGCAGATTTCTCTGTTCTATGTTCTAGAATATTTACGAAGAAGATGTCAACAACCTCGTTGAATGTGATGATGAAAAAGGACAAAGGGCAGGGACCCTTTGTTCTAGCTTTCATAGAGTTATTAAGCAGCTTTAGTGATATAAAGCACGATTATTGGGCTGGTGGCATGGTAAGTATTTCCTTTTATTATATTTAGAAAATTTTGCATTAATGGGCAAAGAGTTGCCAAAAAATAAAAAACACCACGGAATTACATGCAAAGTAAGATAAATTTTTATTGGTGGATTTTGTTTGATCCTTCTCCTCGGCTCCACCTTCCTTGTCCTTATCCTTCCCTCCCTTTGGCCGTCCATTATTTTTTGCCAATCCAATTTCCAGCTTTGTAAACTCCTTATTTGACCGAAGAACCAAACAATAATGCTGCAGAAAATCGCTGCCAAACGCAAAATCGTATGGGTATTCAGGGCCGGCCTTCAAGAACATGGGTACGTATTGTCCTAGCTACAACCGGTGATGACACAAATATTATATCAAATCACTCACTTTTTTGTAGAAGGTTGCGTAATCCTCTCCAGTGATTGCAAGACGTTTGCCGCCAAATTTCAGCGATATTTTCGGATAGTCTGTGTCACTGTCAACTCTTTGATGAAAATACTTGTTGTATATGTATTCTTCTGCAACCCCAAGCCCTCCAATTGCAAAGGCTATTGTCTTGTTGGAGAATTCCTGGTTGCCAATTGTGAAGCTGTAATTGTTGAGTCATTCTTTAATAAAACATACTCAGCCTTGATTCTCCATGATTTATGATCAATTGTGTCGGTAAAAGTGAAATTGCCGCAGGACTTGGAATCATATTTTCCGAAGGTGACTGATCCTCCCTTCTCTCGATCGTCGCCTTCCTTTGCGTAGTTCTAAAGTGTCATAGGCTACCAGTAATCACAATTACCTTAACCAGATTGGTCGGACCTTCTTGAATGACAATCTGCTGGACACTTAGCTTACTCATCAGTTTTTTGACTATACTGGTTCTCTTGTCATGGTCCTCATTCACCGGTCCCAGTCCAATAATCCCGGCGTACTCCCAATTGACTTGCCGTGCCGTAGACATGGCCGCTCCGAGCTCCACTGGGAACTCCATTGATCTAAATTTAAGTGTATCTTTGAACCAAATTCCCTTTGTCCCGTTGTTATTGTACTTGTCATCTTTAAATTCTTTCCCAGTGTCCTCTCCTTTGGCAGTGCTGCAAAAGAAATACGAATTTACTTTGTGCAAGGATGACAACATTGTATGTGGTACCCTCTTGTACGTAATTACCTTACCTTGGATCGTAAGGGTCCGTTATCTCAAAGTGCGAGCAATTCGCTGCTCTGCAATCTTTATGAAGGAGGACCGAGTATGGCCGATTTATGTCGAGTTGCGCTTTTAATGTCCTTGTGTCATCTCCAAGCTGGATATCAAAAAACACCGCTCTTTCCCCTACAATGCTTACATGGCTGGAGGTCAAAAAAAAACTTTGAGAAATTCATATATCTTACTTGCGATGTAATCGACAACAAAATCTCCAACAACAACTGACACAAAAAGCAGAAAAAGCATTTCATTTCAAGTTTGAGTGCTCAAAAAACGATTGATGTGCGCATTGGAGGAGTGCTAAATCTGGTGATAAGAAGATTCTTCGTCTTCATTCTTTGAAACAGCCAGGGAAAATGAAAGTTTGTTTTAAATGCTGTCTCATTGTCAGTGTTGTTCGACTTTTCACGCAGAGAACTCTCACTTGGCCGGCCTGGAATTCGCTAGGGTAGCTCACCCGCTTAATCAGTGACCTGTCCTACATACTATACTTATTTATCAGCGTAATATTTATCAGCACTTTCTATATTTTTTGAGAAATTTTCAGTTGAATTTAGAGTAATGAAATTTGATACAGTAAATGCTACCATATCACCACGACCGCCTTGTGAATGCCAAACATGTTGCCAAGCTTGAGTTTTATCTTTTGTTAACACGTTATATTTTTTTAGGGATGAAATTATTTTTAGTTCTTCTTCTGACTGGCCCCATTGTTTTCAGCCAATCCAACTTGCAAAGTTCCGCGATCATTCAGCAGGATTAGACAGTAATGTTGGAGAAAATCACTTCCAAATCCAAAATCGTAGTCCTTTCCCCTGGCACTGTTCAAGAATGGCCTGTATTTTTGATCCTAAAATTTGACATAGTCGTCACAAATCGAATTGTTCTCTTACGCCCGCGTTGTAAGATGCATAGTCTTCCTTTGTAATCGTATAGCTGACACTTCCGATTCCAAAGCTGATGCTCGGATAATCCTGATCACTCTCGTCTCCCCCTTCCTTAAAGTATTTCCCCAAAAATGGATGTGGGATTTCAGTCGATCTACCGGGAAGAAACGCGATTCTTTGCAATCTCAGCAGTTGATTGCCAATTTTAACACTGAAATTTTGTTTGATCAGGTTCAAGGGGCCTTACTTAGCAATGATATTCCAGTTAATGTTGTCCGCAGTGTTGACTCTGTTGAAGATTCCGCAAGTCTGGTTGTCTTGATAGATCCCAAAGGTTACCGCGCCCATAGAACGAGTCGGCATCTGCTTGTCTTTCTGAAATATCATTGTTGAATCAGTTGGCAATGGACCTATGCATCTTCGCAACTACTAACAAGATTCAGCTCTGCCGATTGCTGTGTCTTGGCAAGCTCTGTAATGGTTTGAACTCCCAATATTGTAAGCCTACCCTCTGAACTGGATGAACTCCTTCTTGAATGATGATTTGTTTCGCGCTCAGATTCCTCATGATTTTGCTCACAGTGCTGCTCCCATCTCCGCCATCCGGTCTCAATCCGAGAACACCATCCCAGTTCACATTAGCGTCCCTCGATCCATTGTTGATCACGCCCAGGCTGAGCGCAATGTTCAAGTTTCCAATTTTCAACGAGTCTTCATGCAGATCTCCAGTGAATGTCCCTCCATTCATCACAACGCCAAAGGGTCCGGATTTTTCCGTCCTGGGCGAGTACACGTATTTGTGTTCGTTGATGCTGCAAGACATCGGTTTTCTGCAGGCCTTTCCGAAGACGAAAGAATCGGCTGATTCCAGATCGAGGAGAAACTTGGCCGGCCTTTTATCACCGCCAACAGAAAGTGGGATGTAAGGAGGCCGCAGGATTCCCTGCGCATCATTATACCGTAAGACAAAGTCGGCGACTATGGTATCCAACAGGAATAGGGATAAAAAGGATTTCATTTCAAAATATAATACCAACAAGGATACTGAACTGTTATCTCGTTTGCTATATCCTGGTTTATATACCGCCAAAAACTACAAACTGATTTGGGGTAAATCCTTGCAGCTCTGCGAAATGAAGGAACCAAGATCATCATGCAAACGTTGCCTCATCCCAAAATGTTAATTTTGGATTCTTTTCGTATACTTTTGAGCGCGATATAACAAATATTATCAATTTTGAAGAAGAGTTGTTTGGCCACAAACATGTGAAGAGGTGGAAACGTAGAGTCTGTGGCCTAAATAGAACAATAATTCTCTTTTAAGAGGTCAATGACTGTGAAGCTGAAGGCTCAAACCTGAGAAGCCAAACGATGAGATCTGGGGAACCGGTTATTCTGTATATTTCCTTAAATATTACAAGAATTATTCTTACAATCTTATTAGTGACTCGCAAAAAACTTAAAATTTTTAAAAACTTAAATAGCGGATCTTTATAAGTTAAAAAAGGTTTAATTTGACCATCATTTGATACACTTTATAATGCTTATTTCAATACATTTGAGCCGTGAGCCCATTTTTTTTTATCTCAAAAGAGCCATAAAGACACCGGCCATAATCACAGATAAAGAGTATGCGGTCGCACCTTTGTCCAGCACTCCCAGATCCCTTGCCAACGGTTTTCTTCCATAATTTGGGGCAAATCCGATCCTCAGCTCCGTGAAGTCTTTGTTGGCCGTCAATGCGAGACAATGATGTTGTAGAAGGTCGGTTCCGAAGACAAAGTCAGCGTCGGAACCATCGGGTATATGTCTGACGTCCCCTTTGTATTTGACCAACTAAATGTTCAAGGCTTTTGTCTTCGAGAAGCGACTTACGTCGTCCACAAACGTCGCGTAATCCTCAGGGGTTATTTGGTAGACTTGATCGTCGATTTTGAAACTGATCGTTGGGAGTTCCGATTGCTTTGCGAACGTCTTGTTATCGATTCTGTCTCTGAATAAATCCTTTGGGAACAACGTCTCTCCGCCCACATTGAAGGCGATTGTTTGGTTCGGTCTCAGTTTACTGTCAACGGTTACACTGAAATATGAAACTGTCGAAAGTGATGACTAAACTCCCATCTTGGAAATGGACGAGCTTTTACGTTTGTTGAAGTTTAATTTGATTGAATACAAACCAACAATAAGAGGAGACTTACTCAGCCCTGATCCTCCAAGAGGAATTGTCGAGTGTCTTGGTAAAGGTAAAGTTCCCACAGGCATCTCCTTCGTATTTCCCGAAAGAAATGGAGGCCAAGTTATCGTCACGAACTCTTCTAAAGTCCTATAAATAAAACGTTTCTCTACGTTGTTATGATGTCACAAAGAGAATGATCAAATCAAAAACGCCATGGCTTTTTTTGACATTTTCTTTTTTTCATTAGTAAATTTTTGGGGATACCGTAGAGATATTATAAGATTTTTTCCGGCAAAAAAGCACCCCAAATGAGAAGCGTGACCAGAGAACAAAAAGTTTTGCCACAGCCGCATGAAATAAATTATTTTTTTGCAGAACGGTCGTCACTTTTCGCGCGATCTTTCTTGTTGTAATGTGTACGGTATCAAGAGATGTCCGTGAGTCTAGAAAGAAGAAGGTCAAGCTCTCACCTTCAACACATAATGCCGCCCGTCTTGGATGACAATCTGCTGCTCCGAGAGCTCATTCATCAACCGTTTTACAACACTTTTCTCATCATCAGTACTGGGCTTTAGACCGAGAACTCCGGGATAATAATCAATAGATGGGTATCCGTTGCTTACAACGGCCAGTTTTACATCCAAACTCAGTGTGCTAAACTTGAGCTTGTCGCTGTAAAATGCTCCTTCTCGTATGCCATCAGAGGGTGATGTGAAGTTCTCCACAAAAGATCCGCCAGTTTTTCTAAAATTTTAATATTAATCCAAGTTCTTGAGTTGCGTATTCCTACTTTTCTGAATAGCGATAGTTATCTTTGAAGTACATTGGGCAGTGAAAGCACTCTTCGTGCAAAACCAAGGTATATGGGCGATTTGTGTCCACTTGAACCTTCACATCGCTGTTGTCGTTACCAATCTTGAAGTTGAAATATAGTGGATAGCTGAATTCTGAAAAAAAACATATTTTTCTGAAGCTTGTAACAAAATCTCGCAATGAATAAAGCCTCATTCAAAACACAAGATTGTATACTTACCTGTGTTAGAATTGAAAGCAAAGTCGGCATTTGTCGCAGTGATGAAAAAGAGCGGTAATATGACGCTAGAACGCATCTTATTCATTGCATTGTATCATCATTTCTTGGAGTTTTATAACTGAAGAATGGAAGAAGGGATAGTCTTTCAATGCTGCTTCCTCGAGCGATAAGACCTCTTTTTTCGATGCGATATTTTTTCATTTCGGGTCGATGCAAAATTTAAATGACACAAATGCTATTATATATATAATGTATACATAATATGCATGAAGATGTTCACGTTCGCAAAGAAGTGTAATAAATATTTTTTATAAATTTCGAGCTAAAGATCCCAGTCGTTTCTATCGAACGCGATTCAGGAAAGTTGACTCCATTCCCGATTTTTTTTATGTTCTGCACGGGTCACCTTTCGGGATTAGCATCAACCAGCGATACAATATCCAGCGGTCTAACAAAACACTTTAATTTATTCGATAACTACGAAAGAAAAAGCCTTAATAAAACGCTTTGTTATCGGCCAAGCCAATCTGCAGTCTTCCGAAGCTATCATCGGCCCTGAGGGCAACACAGTAATGTTGAAGGAATTCGCTGCCGAACGCAAAATCGTAGACATTTCCGAACGGCCAGGAGGACAATAAAACACGATATTTGTTGTCCTAAAACATAGACAACAGATGAAACCGCGACTTACACTTGAAGAATAAGAGTAGTCCTCCCTTGTGATTTTGTATTCCTTCCCTTTGAGACTGAAACTAATGTCCGGGAAGTCCTTATCGCTGTCGTATTTGTCTTTAGAGAAGTATTTCTGTATGATCGTGGACGGGATGAGAGTTAAATAGCCAGGGACAAAGGCAATTCTTTGGTTCTTTAGAGTTTCATTGCCGACCTTTACACTGCAAAAATTGATTCATTAGGTGCCTAACAATGGAAGTCACTTTTTCGCAGACGGACTTTCGAACGACACCTAGTAGGTTTCAAATGTGAAGCGCCTGCGATCATAAAACTGATTTCCAAAAGCGTTTACGGGGCTATTCGCCCGAGAAAATCGACCGCAAAGTTTAGCCGAAATAAGCGAATAGCCTCCTCAAAAGAAACAGCTTATTTCATCTGCAGTGGTGGCCGAGTGGTTAGTGCGCTCGGTTTTTGCGCCACAAGGGGCGGGTTCGATCCTCTGCGCAGTTTATTTTCTTTTTTGGCTCGTATTATAAATATTGATTTGTATGTAAAAATAAAATGTATACCCTTTTATAATTTTTTTACAGTAATTTTTAAATAAAAAAAAAATAAATTCAAAGCTGAATGTTCATGAATTGTAAAGTCAAACAGGCCTGGGTTAATGAAGATATATAGTTTCCAAATTGGTGTTTTATTTTCTCGGCCGAGAAGCCCCGTAAACACTTTTGGAAATCAGTTTGATGATCGCAGACGCTTCACGTTTGAAACCTACTAGGTCCCGTTCCAAAGTCCGTCTGCGAACAAAGTGACTTCCCTTGTAAACCAGCCTTATCCGTGAAACGGCCAAGGGAAGGCTATCTGTTTCTTGTGTTGTATACATAGAATATGTACAATCTTGTCAAAGCTCTTACTCAGCCCGAAGCTCCCAATGTTTGTTGTTCCAAGTGTCGTAGAAAGAGAATTGGCCACACCAATCTTCAGTATATTTACCAAATGTAAATGTTCCGTTAGAATTCAGTGGGAATGGACGGTTATGCTGGAGATATTAATTCTCAACGTCATTTTTCATCGCTTACCCTCGAGAGAATGTTGACTCCTTCTTGAATAACGACTTGTTTTACACTTAACGCGTTCAACAATGGTACAACAATACTGCTGTTGCTCTCATCGAATCCCAGTCCAAGAACTCCATCCCAGTTAAAAGTAGCAACATACAATCCGTCGGTGACGTCGCCCACTTCCGCTGGCAACTTGACATGCCCGATATTCAGAACATCTTGGTAAAACTTTCCAGTGTAGTTTGGATATGCAAATTTGAAATCATCGAGTCTCCGACCAGTCGGTTTTCCTCCCGTTTTTTTGGGGTCGTATGCGTACAAATGGTTTCGATTATCGCATTTATATTTTTCTTGGCAAACAGGATCAAAGGCGAAAGAATACGGCCGATTCAAATCCAAGGCTACATTAAATTTCTCGGGATTATTTCCAATTGAAATGCTGATCCATGGAGGCTTCAACATCCCTTGAGCGCCTTTGTAGCGGAAAACAAAGTCAGCAAGGGCGGCATTGACAATCAGGGGCAATATTAACATCCTCATTTTGGTCACGAATTAACCTGGAGGATAAAATACAAAATAGAAAAAGTTTATCGTCAAGACTATGCAAGAGGATGTTAACAAAGAAATAGTTGATCAAAAGGAATGATCTCGGTTTATATAACAAGCGGAAAAGGTGTGGTAAACGAAGATCTATGTACCACGCCCTAAAACAAGAAGGTTCTCGAAGTACATGATTAGATTTCAATGAAACATTTAACTGTTTCTAAGTTTGATGCGATTTTTGTAGGCCAAGCTTTGCAGAAATAATTGAGGAATTCCTCGGGCTTCTTTCGAGGGACTATAGAAATTCGTCGATAGGCTTCTGCGATCGACTACTAAATTTCTTGGATCTCAAATTGATCGTTGAACTTTGAATTAATTGGAGCTTTTTACTTCAAATATTTCGCTGACAAAGTTTATTTCTGATCCAAAAAAACAAAATTTTTATATTACCACCCTCTTGCTTTCTTCGAAGCGATATTCTCGGCCAACCCAATCCTCAGCGACCCATTGTCATCCTCTTTGAGCGCCAAGCAATAATTTTGCAGAAAATCGCTACCAAATGCAAAATCGTAGGGCTGGTGACTGACCGATCCCAACAATTGCATATAACCTTTGGTCTGAAAATGTGAGCAATGTTTTGCTACAAGATGGTGGTACATTGCTTACATGTGGAACATAGTAAGAGTAGTCCTCTTTTGTTGTTTTATATTCTTTTCCAAATGCTGTGAAGGCAAATTGCGGAAACGTTTCTTCTGAATCGCTTTCCAACGAAGGGAAATATCTTTTGAAAATGTGGGTTGGTATCAGAGTCCGTCGGCCAAAGTTAAATGCAATTTTTTGGTTCTTCAGGGTTCTGTTTCCGACCCGGACACTAAAATAGCCTTTGTAGCTTTCGAGAAGCCTGAACTTACTCTGCAACAAACATCCAGCTATAATTATTCATCGCGTTCATGAACGCAAACTCTCCGCAGTCATTGCTATGGTATTTTCCAAAGGTAATACTTCCATTGGAGTAGCTGTTCAATGGCTTTCCTGGCTGGAATTATAATCAGCATGCATGATGCTAATTAATGTCTCACCCTCTGCAAGTTGTTATGTCCTTCTTGAACTGTGATTTGTTTCACACTCAATTTCTTCATCAATTTCTTCACAATACTATTATTTTTCTGATCAAATCCAAGTCCAATCACTCCATCCAGCTCATTGACTCCGCCATTTCCTTCATCAACAACTCCTAATGCCAGAGGCAATTTAATTTCGCCGAAATTGAGAGAATCCGCAAAGTAATGGCCCTTCAAATATAAGGCATCGGAATGGAAATTGTCGATAAAAGAAGATCGCAGTGGCATTCCCCCGGTCTTTGTTGAATTGTAAATGTAGTAATGTAGATGCCAGTCACATCTACTGTGCATCTTACACTTGTCAGAGAAGACATAGGAGAACGGACGGATTAAATCAAAGTGGACGTTCACATCTTGGCTGTCATTGCCAATTTTGACAGTGAAGAATGGAGTCACGTAATGAGCTAAATTTTTTTACCAACAAGTGTTGTTCATCTACTCACGTTTTTCATAATAGTAGGTATAGTCGGCCAAAGAAATGGGAAGGATGAATATTAGTAAGAGAAAAAGCATGATATTGACGTGAAAAGTTCAGTGTTCAAACTAGTGATTAGGTTTGTGTTTCTTATCTTAGAATAGGATTAGTTTGTGAAATGGAGGCTACGGGAGACGTGTGCTTAGGAAGTTATTCATTATCTTTCGGATTTATGTATCGCCTTTTCTTACAATAATTGATATTGAGGAAGAGAGTACCTGTTTGTTTCCCTACAGTGGCAGACCGCATCTAATGACAACAGATGCGCAATTTTCGTTCCAGGAAGGATGATTCCGCAAAAAGTTCCAAATTTGATTTCTCCAAGACTTTTTTTCAAAGTTTGAACGATTTATTCAAATTTTCTAAACATTCTTTATGGCTTCAATTCCAGAGACTATATGGAATAACAATATTATGATACTTTGCTGGTTGCATGATCTATTCACAATTGTTTAGCCAGCCCGATCTGAAGCCTGTTGAATCCACTGTCAGCTCTGATCTTAAGACAGTAGTCCTGCAGTAAACTGCTCCCGAAGCCGAAGTCGTAATCGCCGCGTGAATTGTCCAGGAGGGGCATGAAATGTCTCTGAAGAAATTCGGGTTTCCGTTTATAGACTTACATTGACGAAATGGGCATAAGTCTCTCTCGTGAAAGTGTAAGTATCTCCATTTTTTACGAAACTGATGTCCGGGAAGTCTGCGTCATCCCATTCTCTATATGATGGAATGTGTTTTGCCTTTATGGCAGACGGAAGTCGAGAGTTCTGTCCAGGGAAGAACGCAATTGTTTTATTACTGTAGGTTGTGCTGTCGATAACAACACTGAAACAAGGATTACTCAGCTGATTTTGATGGCTTTCTACTTACTCGGCCATAATATGCCAATGTTTGTTATCCTTGGTGTTATACCACTTAAACGCACCACATTTCCGTTCCGTGTACCGTCCAAAAGCAACAGTTCCGTTCGAAGGTTTAAACCGATCTTTTCCAGGCTAACAATTGAAGATTAAATGTTACTCAGAGTATCTCAAACTTGATTTTGAAAAATATTTGTAAAAGCTAAAATTAAGAAAAAAACTCAAGTAAATAAGAAAAAAGCAGAGTTTCCAAATGACAAATCTCAGAAAAATGTTTCAGACTTCGCCTATTTTCGAACGGTATCTATCATTTCGCATGATTTTACACAGTAGGATCGTTTTTGTCAACAATTTTTCGGAAATTTGGCGGTTTTACTGGAGCATGGGCTAAATCATCGCATGAATAAGGTAGTGATTGCATAACTAATGTGTTATTGAAAGGCTGGTCTTGAACCAGCATTCCAATATGTACTTACTTTGGTTATCGCAACCAGCCCTTCTTGCCAAAGTATTTCCTGAACGCTCAATCTTCTCATGATGTGTTTAACAACGCTGCTCTTGCTGTCATCTTCACCGATGCCGAGGCCAAGTACCCCATCCCAATCGAAGCCCGCGTTTTTATTTCCTTCATCCACAACTCCAATCTCAAAGGGCAGAGCCAAATTGCCAAGCTTCAAGGTGTCTTCGTAGAATTTCCCTTGAAGATTCGCGATGTCATAATAGGCGTCGTTGAATTGCCTGTTGGTGACTTTACCGCCGGTTCTTTTCTCATTATAAGCATAAAAATGTTTATAAGCATCGCAAATAGATCGTGATGCACATCTCTCATTAAAAACAAGAGAGTAGGGTCGATTCAGGTCCAGTTGAACACGCACGGACTCCGGGTCTTTGCCCACCGAATAATTGAGATATGGACTGCTAAGTGGGTAGGTGTAGGCATTCGTATAACGGAATATGAAATCACCAGAGGCAAAAGGCAACAGCAGAAGGAAGACGGTTAGTCTTAGCATCCTTGCTGCTTGTTGTACCGTTAGCCGACAAGTTTATATAGTGTTCTTCTAGAAGATTAAGGGCATTTGGAACAATGGCAACCAATATAAACAAAGAGATTACTATCTTGAAGTTGAGTGACCCCTGATAAGTACGGTAAACTCCTTTGTTCTAATATATGGGATAGGCCGGAGGTTGTTTCCAAACATACAGCCTTGTGAAAGGAAGTTCAGGATAGCACAAACAACGATAGGGTCGCTAAGAGAATTGCATTTGAATGACCTTTGATAACTAGGGACAATATCTTTGCTCCAGTATATGATCGAGAAATTTGAGACAAAGAAAGGCAGCCTAACCTTGGAAATGATCGCCTTATATTTGTGTATCCTCTGATAAAAACATTTCCTTGCGGTAGCATTGTTCTCCGTTTTAATATCTTAATCTTGACCAAAGCCTCATTTTTATGCTTTATGTATATACCATAGTATATGTATGTATTACACGTATCTTACAGCGATGAGTAGAAAAATGATCATAAATATACTGCCCATCAATTTGTATGCCTCCTTGTTCTCAGCAAAACCTATTTGGAATTCCTCGAATTTGTCGTCCGCGGTCAACGCAACACAATATTCCTTCAGAAATGAACTGCCAAGCCCAAAGTTATAGGAGTATTCTGGATAAATCGGGTCAATTCTGGCGCGATACGACTTTGACTAAATTTATTCTGAGTGAACCGGTCATTTTGCTTACCAAGTCATCATTATACCAAGAATAATCTTCTTTGGTTATGTTGAAAGTCACGCCGTCAATAGTAAAACCAATATCTCCAAATAAGCTTTGATTTAAAGTTTTCCTGTTTTCGAAATACTTGTTGAAAGATGCTTGATCGACTTGGGTGTCTCGGCCGGGTAAGATGGCAACCGTGGCGTCGGGGTATATGTCGTCACCAACGGTGACTCTAAAGCCAGTTTGATAAAAACTAAAAATCCTTTCCCTTACTCGGTTGTGAAGGTCCAGCCATTTCCTTTACCTTTCTGAACATATTTAAAATCGCCACACAAGTCTCCGTCATATTCTCCGAATGTAATTCTTCCACTTGACTTTTTAACGTCGCTTTTGTCTTTCTACAATAACGCCTTTAAATAATATAAGCCTCATACTTTTTGCAGATGATAATGTCCTTCTTGAATAGTAATTCTCCGCACTTTCAACTGTTTCATCAATTCCATGAGAATACTGTAATTATTTCCTCGAGTAATCCCCAGGCCTATAACTCCATCCCATTCAAAATTCTTCGCGGGATTTCCTCGATTAATTACACCTAATTGTAAGGAGATATCATGGTCTCCAATACGAATTTTATCTGCATAAAATCTGCCTTTAAATCGATTATGTCGCAAATGTTTCTCATCGTTCAAACTCAACGAGGAAATACTGCCACCGGTCATTCTAAACATGTAATAATGAAGAGAAATGCATACGGTAACAGACTCACACTGGATCGTATAAGTAATCATGAATGTTGTTAGAGCATGGTGTCCCAGAGTCATTACATGTTTTGTGAAAGACCATGGAGTAATCTCGGTTTGTGTCAAGAAGAACCTTTACTTTGCGATCGTCGTTTCCAACTTGAATTTGTAGGTAAGGCTTTTCTGGATATTCTGGAAATATTTCTTACATATGATTTCTTTTGCCATTGTATTCATGCTCCCTATATTAAAAAATTTTACAAAGCGTGTTACTTGAAACTTACCAATCGCATATTCAAAAGTATAGTCACCCATAGAAAATAAAGGTACTGTCAAAACACAAAAGCAATGCCTGAAGAATTTCTCCATATTCTTATTCTTAAAAATCAAAACCAGAAATTTTTTGAGCGGACAAATACTCTCATTTCATTCCCTTCTCTTTTGACTCTCCCTTGTTTGATATGGAGACGTTTAGCAACAGATAACTTTTTTATGAAACAGCGATGATATGCAGAAGAACAGGGCGTGTAACTATAGCGCGGAACAGGATCCAGTGCCTTAAACTAATTCTGATTGCATCCGGAGGCATTCCGACTACGTTTCGGCGAAGAATTCATTTGGTCACTGAATCTCCAGAATTTATACGTAAATTTTGAAATCTTTTTGGACTAGGACTCGAGACTTCGCAGCCTGCGGCTGCTCACGTCTCTCGGGCAGCCCTGCGGACAAAGGCAACTTTCCGCCCGGAGTTGGCTTTGCGCGCGATTTGGACCTGTTCAACGTCGAAAACGGCACAAACGCTCGCCAAAGCCTTGCCGACGGCCTCCGGCCGCGGCAGAAAAACGCTACGCGTTAGACTGAGCCTAGTAGCAAGTTGTGGCGTTCGGAACGCTGGGCCGACCTTGTTTTAGATCGAGAAGTTAAGATCGCTAAGCTTACCCTAATCGCTGAGCTCAGGTCAGTCCCAGATCGCTAAGCCCGGTTAAAGAGTCCGCCGGCATGAGGCGACGGCCTACGACCGCCGCGAGACTACATTTTGTTACCTAAAATAATGTTTCTTCCACCAAAAGCTGATCAAAAGCACATAAAATAATCAAAAATCAACTAAAAAATGGACTCCGCACTAAAAAGTATCCTTAGACAATATTTTTCCCGAACTCCCCGTCAAATTTGGCCCTAAAACGGCAAATCCCGAGAATCCAGGACCAAAAAAATAATTTTACAAAAATTTCTCGAAAAAATCCAGAAAACCCCGTCATGATGACCGGTTCCTCACCACCCTCCTCATTCTCAGCTCTCTCTCCGTCTTATCTCTGACCGGAATCGAAAGAGAAAACCTTTATCTAACCACCCTCCACCGCTTTCCCACTCTCTCTTTTCTCCCGCCAAACGAAGAAGGAAGCGACTCTCTGCCCGCTCTCTCTCTTCACCGTGCTCTCTTTCTGTGTTTTCGTCCTTGGAAGTGGGCGTTTTTTCAAAACTGGCACTTGTTGCACTAAAAGTACCGGGGAAAAGAATACGACTATGTCCGAAATGACATGGAGATCCTGAATGTGCAACCCGTGACCGAATCTTAGTAGAAAATTGTTGAGTTTTGACGGTTTTAAAAATTTTGAATTTGTTGCTCAAAAAAGTCGCTGCAGGATTTCGCCTTGGGGGTTGCAACCGCGATCTTGATTCAACAGGATATGTCAGGGCCGTTGAAATATCTAGTGCACCTGGAAGCCCGATTTTTGAATTTCGACCTTGTTCCCGAGATAATATCACTTTCGTACGTTGAAGTAAAATCCGAAAATTCGGATATTCGAATACTGCCTTTTTATCTTGTCCGTATTTTAGGAGTCTATACCTGTTTCGGTAGCAGTTCAATGTGCCGGATACGATGGTGAAAATGAAAATCCGAAAAAATTCGATTCCAAGCCCTCAGGGCAAAATTTTGGCCGAAATTTCGAAATTTTTCTTTGAGGACACAGTGCGCACGAAGTATTAAACGTAGATACCTGAAACGTGGCACGACGGTAGCTTATTCTGTGCCCAATAGCCTGCGTGAGATCAATTCTTTTAACTTTGCTTCCTGCCCTGAGGGCGATTTTTTTCGTACGGTGCACCAAAAATCGACCGAAATTTCCGGCCGCACTGACGGCCGCAATTTTAAAGATACGAAGAAGATGTAAGCGGATAATTTGTAGAGCTCTTCGAGCTCTATAATCTATGGTTGGACATTCTTGACATCGTTGTTGTACATCAGAGCGAAAAATTTGAAAAAGTCAAAATTTTGAAAATTTCGAAAAATTTCGTTTTCCGTCGGGAGATTCTATTGAGGACATGGGTACGTAGAATGTTCTGAAAAAATTTTGTGACAATCTTCGAGCAAAAAGAAATCGATCAGCGAGCCGTTTTTTCGAATTTCGACCTGGGAGCCGAGAACGAATTTTTTGAAATTTGCACTGTGCAAATCGTATTTTTTACAGTAAGCCATAGCTAAAATACGAAGTGCACTACAAAAAAGAAAGACACGTACTAATAGGAAGTCGGGTACGTAGAATTCAATGGAATCGAAAAAATCCAGAAATTCCGTCATCATGACGGGGTTTTGTGTAAGTGTAAGTTTATACATGGCCGTATCTACACATACATGGAGTTATCTCTTAGTTATGAAATTGCTTTCCCGATATGGACCTGTAGAAGCTTGCATTTCAATATTCCCCGGTCTAATTAAAAGATACGAAAAAAGGTCTTTTTTTGAGATTTTTTTCGTAAATTTTGAAATTTCGAAAAAATTTCGACAGTGATTGTCCCATTCGTAGTGGACGTTTTTGTCCCCACCCCGGTTTTGTCCCCACGACGGTTTTGTCCCCAGGACGTTTTTGTCCCCACTTTTTTCGAGCCTTTTTGTCCCCAGACCGGTTTTGTCCCCAGGACGGTTTTGTCCCCAAGACGTTTTTGTCCCCAGTTTTTTTATTTTTTTGTCCCCACACCGGTTTTGTCCCCAGAACGTTTTTGTCCCCAAGCTGGATAGTACGATTAAAGATTATGCATTCAGATGTTAATGCTGTTGGTTTGGTGCACAGTACTGCTCAAACAACTTGTTCTTAGCGCTTGGTACTGTATAGTACGAGGTGCCGAACACTTTGATATTATACTAGGCACCGGTTTAAAAAAAATTAAATTAGAGATGTCGGAGTGAATTGACGAGACCTATACCATACGAAATGACACAGAATGAAATTTCAGACCCGCAAGTTTCGCCTTTTTTGGAGCCAAATTGCGCCCGTACCAGGCCGAACACTTTGATATTATACTAGGCACCGGTTTAAAAAAAATTA